GTCTTGAACATTCGCATGGTAGCTCACTCCTGTAATCCCAGCATTCTGGGAGGCTGAAGTGGAAGGATCCCACCTAAGCAAGAGTGAGACCCTATCTCTACCAAAAATAGAAAAAATTAGCCAAGCACTGTGGCTGGCACACCTGTAGTCTCAGCTACTTGGGAAGCTGAGGCAGGAAGATTGCTTCTATCTGGGAATTTTCGGTTGCTGCAAGCTAGACTGATGCCATGGCATACTAGCCCAGGAGACAGAGACTCAATCTCAGGAGAAAAAAAAAAAAAAAAAGGAGAGATGATGAATGAAGGGTCAGAGAAAAATGCTACTTTACTGGCTTTAAGGATGAAGGTAGAAAGCCATCAGCCAAGGAATGTATACAGACTCGAGAAGCCAAAAGGAACAAGGGAACAGATCTCCCATAAATCCTATAAAGTGAAACTTAGCACTGCAAGACACCCTGATTTTAGCCCACTAAGACCCACATCAGACTTAAGGCCTACAGAACTGTAAGATAAATTTATGCTATTTTAAGTCACTAAGTTTGTGGTAATTTGTTTTGTTTTTTAATTAAATCATAGCAGTATACAATAATACTATCATGGGGTACAGTGTACTGTTTCTGTATACAATTTGAAATACTTTCATCCAACCGGTTAACACAGCCTTCATTAAGACATTTATATTCTATATTTAGAGAGATTCACATGTACCCTTACAGGATGAACCACAGGTGTGATCCCACCTTCTCCCCTCCCCACATATTCCTGGGCTAAAACTGGGTTATAGCTTTCCTATGAAAGCTATAAATTAGTTTCATAGTAGGGCTGAGTACAAGTTTGTGGTAATTTGTTACAGCAGCAATTAGAAAACAAATATACTGAGTGGTGCCTGTAGCTCAGTGGGTAGGGCTCTGGCCCCATGTACTGAAGGTGGCAGGTTCAAACCCGACTCCAGCCAGCTAAAACAGCAGTGGCAACTGCAATAACAAAATAGCCAAGTGTAGCTGGTGCCTATTATCCCAGCTACTCAGGAGTCTGAGGCAAGAGAACCACTTAAGCCCAAGAGTTGAAGGTTGCTGTGAGCTGTGACACTACAGCACTCTACCAACGGCAACAGAGTGAGACTCTGTCTCAAAAAAAAAAAAAAAAGAAAGAAAGAAAGAAAGAAAACTAATATACCAAATCAAAGAAAATTCTAGAGAAATTACATCAGTAAATATAAACTTTTAAATTTCTATTACTGTGTATTATCTCTGTAAGTAAAAACTGAAAACTCTTTCAAACTTAGTGACCATGAAATAAAGTATTACTACACACTTAAAAAAATTTTACTACATAAAGGCCATGATTCAAATATTAGTGCATGTTTAGATATAAATAATTTTTATTAATAAAATTATTTGCATACCTAGTTGTTCGATAATGCTTGAAACCACCCCAAGAGGCTTTAATTCAATATCTTCAGGCAGAATAATAGTGAGTTCTTCAACAGAAGGTAGTTCCTATAATACAAAAAAAGCATTAATCTTCCTCCAGTTTCAACAATTTACCTTAAAAAAAAATTGATAAATTTTCTATTTAAAATGCTATATACATCTCTAATGATGTATCATTAAGTGCTTAAAACATCTCTTTAATATTTCCCTTTTCACTGGTTGCATGGACTGCTTTCTGACAGCATTTCTTCCATCTCCAACAAACATCTCTCCACCTAAGTGAGTCAATAGGTTTATACAGTATATACCTTAAATCCTGTTAGAAGAAGTACTATTCTAGATTTTCCCAGTCATACTTGAACAAGAGATGCCCTCCTCCCTAAAATGCTATTATTAAGGCCAGGTGAGGTGGCTCATACCTGTAATCTCAGCACTCTGGGAGGCCGGAGTCCGGTAGATTGCCTGAGCTCACAGGTTCCAGACCAGCCTGAGCAAAAGCGAGATCTCTTCTCTAAAAACAGCCCTCAACTGTGGCAGGCGCTTGTACTCCCAGCTACTTGGGAGGCTGAAACAAGAGAATCAATCATCTGAACCCGAGAGTTTGAGGTAGCTGTAAGCTACCAACAGCACGGCACTCTACCAAGGGTTGACAAAGTAAAACTCGGTCTCAAAAATAAAAATTAAGGCTCGGCACCTGTGGCTCAAGTGGCTAAGGCGCCAGCCACATACACCTAAGGTGGTGGGTTTGAATCCAGCCTGGGCCCGCCAAACAACAATAACGGCTGCAACCAAAAAAAAAAAAAGTAGCCGGGCATTGTGGCAGGCACCTGTGGTCCCAGCTACTTGGGAGGCTGAGGCAGGAGACT